AAAAAGATAAGATCCTTGAATTCAATCTAAAGTACTATTCGTTTTACAAACGAAGTTGAAACATTTTATTGCAAACAAGTCATAAACTACTATTGTTGCTAAGAGTTAGCTATTGTTACAAGAATATGAGGGGATATGTTAATATAACTGGAGATGAATAAAATATAGTATTAAGTATTGCAAAGAATTTAGTTTTCATCAATTTTAGTAATAATAGTTTTTATTTATTTAGATTAGATGATGGTTAAAGAATGGAAACAGAATAGACCTTGCAACAGATAGATTAGAAATACATCAATATTCTAGTATTCTAATATTTCAGTAAGATAAAATAGATAGAAAGGAGCATCTTTTTACCTAGAGTATTTATTCCTTCAGAATTTCTCGTTTGTTTTACTAATTCGTTCATTCATTCTTAGAAGAATATAACTATTTCATTATTACACTCCTATCGAATGTTAACAGATTAGCTTAGACTTATCTTCCACTACTCATTGAAATTAGCACAAATTACAGCTTGAAAATTAAGTTTATATGCTTTTATAAGTGTTTAGAAGAATCTACGTTTTGCAGCTAGGAATGAAAATTCGAGAAGACTATTATTGAGTATTTAACATATACAAGGTAAACCCATCACCCTGAGCAATTGACAAAATCTAAACTATCTATGAGTATAGAAAAAAGTCGAAAAACAATAGACGTATGATAAGAAGATATTCTTTTATTTTTTGTTGATGTCTTATAAAATATAGAAAAATAGATCTTATTTAGTTTTCGAACACTAGAAACCTTTAATTTCTAACAAATAGAAACATTTATCATAGAAAATAAAAATTTATCCATTCTTACAACATAACATATGAAATGAAGTATTTTGCATAATTCCCGAGTCGTTCATTTTGGTAAGTTTCGCTAATAGAAGTAGTAATTGTTAAGAGATCCAAATAGAAGGGTGGGGTGGGGTGTGCGTGTGGGTGTGGGTGTGGGTGTGGGTGTGGGTGTGGGCGAGGGTGTGGGTGTGGGTGTTGGTGTTACTATTATCATTCTTATACATCCACACTCACACCCACACCCACGTCACAACCACACCTCACACGTCACACCCACACCCACACCCCACACCCACACCCATACCCACCCACACCCAGCCACACCCACACCCACACCCTCAAGATCTTACGTCTGCTTTTTTCACCTGGAATTTTAAGAATTTTATGCTTAAGACATGACTAATTCCTTTGGCCTGATATATCTGCAACCTTATAGATTTTACGAGGCCTATTTTTGAGCAACTTTTCATATTGAAATCTGTATTTGATATATGTTGGCAATCTCTACCATTGAACAAAAATCCAGTACAATGGTCTTAGCTTAAGAACAAAGCAATATTGATATGAATCAGCCTAGCCTTTTTCTTCTCTCAATAGATGCTACACGATAAAATAAATTTTTCTTTAAAAATTATCTATCACTTCGTCAGACTCTCTCATAACACACACAAATCAGTACGATAAGTAGAACTATATTATTTAATAGGAGGGCTGCGCAAATACGAGTACAATTTGTACTCCGGAAAGAATATGACCCCCATAAATCTAGAATTCGAGGGAGTGGGTGTGGGTGTAGAGAACGAATGGTATAAAAAACACCGAAAGAAAAAACGTCGAAAGTAAAAAATGTCGAAAGAAAAAATATCGAAAGTTCTTTAAATAGGAGTTAAGCACATTTCCTCATCCCCACTATATAAACAATCTGCAGTAGTATCCATTCCTTATAGTCTCACAGGAATTGTATGGAATTAAACTCTATTCTTAGGAGTTTCAATATTTTTTTTTTCGACATTTTTTACTTTTGACGTTTTTTCTTTCGGCCAATTCTATGCATACCTAGAGAACTCCCACGCCTACACACCCACATCTATGCGCTCTGATCATAGTATGTATAAGGTAAAAAAACCTAGAATTGGTAGAGTTTGTACTCGTGTACTGTCATGTACTTTGATCATGGTATGTATAAAGTATATGACTCAGAGTACATGACAGTACACGAGTAGAAATTCTACCAATTCTAGGTTTTTCATACCCTATATATAGTATGATCAGAGTACATGTATGGATTATGGAAGTATATGGGTAAAGTAAAGTAGAATTTGCAATTGTGCATCTCTATTTAATAGTTGATTATTTTCTTGGTATAGAGAGAAAAAAAGAAATGATTAGATATAAAAAAAGAAAAAGAGTATGCGATTATAAATAAATCTTATTTCATTTTCAATTTTATCTCATGACTATGTTAATAATGTTCTAATAATTTATTTGTTAAAATGTAAATCAACTATAATATGGATTTAGTTGACACAATAGAAATATATTAAAACTGATTTTATTATTAATTCTATTAGTTTTCTTAATATTCGATGGTTTGGATCAATAAAAAAACAAGAGATTTTGTAAATAAGAATTTGACGCTTTTAAATCTAAAACTGAAAACAAGTTATAGAAAAATATTTTTTTTTAATAATAGAAAACTTTTATTTTGTTTTTCTTTGACAAACAATAGAAAAGCAACTGACTATGATAAAACAACTTGTTTGTCGACTATTCTCTGTTCAATGTCAATTAAAATCTCTTCGACTTGATATTGGTAACGATTTCATCAATGGTTCAGTTCATACATGTTTAGCATCAAACTCTTACTTTTCTTCGAATTTTATTCAATATAAACTCGAATCTTGTTGTATGACTCTTCATCGCTTAGATATTCGACTTAAATGTACAGATGTTCTTGAAAATCTTATTGAACATCTACCTAATCTTGAACAAATATCAGTTGAGTTTGTTTTTTCATTGGGATTCAATTCATCATGGAAATGGAATGTGGAAACCTTGAAACAATCAAATGAAAACTGGTTTAATAAAGTAAGAAAAAAACACGAAATATTATTTTTCTTATCTTGTGAATTTTGTTAAAATCAGTTGTTTATTTTCATTAATAAAAACAATTGAATCCTTTTTTAGCTACCAAAGTTACGATGTTTTACTTTAAAAACTTTCATTAATAACGATTTGGAATTTGTTTATTTAAAATGGCTTCTTAACAATTTAAATTATGCTGAAAAACTTGAAATTCAACTTAAAAATGAGGATAAAATCGGTCGAACAAGTCAAAATATATGGAAATGTTTGATTGATGCAAATTTCATTCGTCAATATTGTTTACCTGATAGAATAATTAATTTAATTAATTTTAATTTTTATATTTGTTCAGAATGTCAATTATCATTAAATGATATAGAAAAAATAACAAATTCATTTAAAATTCATTCTTTTTTTATTGATTACAAATGGACAAATGTTGAATGTTTATTTGATCCAATAATGTCATGTCAACATATCTTTTCTTATTTTCCTACCAAACTTAACTTATCTAATAATCTTATGTTAGATATTTCTCTTTATGATAAACTTCAATTATATTATTTTCCTTTTTAGTAATTATTCATATATATTTAATTGGCCACATTATGTTGGGGGTGCTTACTTTCACCCCTTACATCCATCACTTTATTTATGTCTCAAACAATTCAATGATTCATGTCCGAATGTTTCTTGCATTAGAGTAGAAAAAAGTAAATTCCTTTCTTATAACAATGATTCTCATTATGGGTAAATAAGTCGATAGATGACAATATTCAACATATTGACATTATTTCGTTAGAATTTCTTTGTGTTTATATATAATTCGTGAAAAAAAAACGATATAAAAAAATGGAAAAAAGCATGAACTTTCATCAGAAGAATAATGTAAGAAGAAAGATTCGTCATGAATATTCATCTATCTTGTATTCAGTTAAACCTAAAAGAAAAATAGTAAAACAATATTTAAAGTAAATAGAATTTTTTTTTTAATAGTATGTAACCAAGATTTTAACGAGACTGATCTTCTCATGTCATTGGAAATCTTATGGAAAATGAGGCAATACAAAGCAACTGATATTCCTTTTCGAAATGTTACAAAAATTCAATTTGGAACGTATTTTAATCAAAAAAACGGTTAGTATTCATCTTTTGTGGAACTCACATATATTTTCGAAGAAAATAATAGTGAGTGGAAGTTTTAAATTGAAGTTTTCCTGTTCCGCCCCCCCCCCCTACCCTGTTTTCTCGCTAGCAACAGAGATCAAAGGTACATTGTCGCAGTGTTGGAGTTAACGAGTACATTTGCATAGGAATCAGGGTGCTCCTATTACAGACAACCTTCCATTAGAGACTTCAACTATTGAAGAAAATAGGCTTCAGACTTTTTAAATTTTTTGTTGCAAAATTGATCAAGTTAAAATTTTGAAAAATAATCAATGGAATTTTTCATGTGTTAATTATATTTGATAATAGTGCGTTAAAATCTGCTGTAGGTATGATCAATGTGTAAAAGAGACTTGTTTGCCATTTAACTCGTTGATCATAACAGTAACAATGTTAAATTAATAAACAAAGAATTTTAAAAAATGAAAAATTACGAGCGAATTGACAAAATGAAAATAAAAAGTAGGGCGCATAGAAATAAATCTTTTTCGAAATGCAGAATAGTCTACGAGAGATTTTTCACTTTACGTATTTGGTATTAGTTTAATGAGGCTAGAGAATATATGTCAGTTCAACATTTTAGCCCCAAAGGGGCTGCGTTAACAAACTTCTTTTTAAAGATTTTAGACAAACAGAGATTATTCTTCATTTACAGGTAGAAGAAAATACAATCTGGACCTTTTGTTTAAATAGTTTTAGATTTCATATAGAACTATGTTGCTCAAATCTTCGTCATTAAATCAACTGTTTCTTTTTTCTATTAGAGGTTTTAGTATTTCAGAATTCTATTGAGGATTGGAATGTGAATTTCCTAATGACTAATATTGAGAAGAATTTTGTTAGTCATGAAGAAGAATTGATTGATGAAATAAGTTATTGAGTTCTATCGAGTTTAGCTACGAATAATGAATCTTTATGTTTAAATCTCATTCACTATTCGAATAGATTCTCTGACTATGATAGATTGTCGTCTGCTTGGATGCAGATCCTAATATGATTCATCATTACTATATAGATCATCGTTTACATTTTGTTTTCGTCCGCTTTTATTTACTTTTCTCTGTGATCAGTTTTGAAATTTGCATCTAAGATTCACTACTTCGTTTGCTTGTTAAATACAATTAAATATATTCTACATTAAAAAAAATCAATTCATATTAAAATACTCTAGTAACGGATTTCGTATACACCGGGAACTTAGCCGAGTCCACTTTGACCGAAAAACCTGTCGGCACCACTAAATATTAATGAGAGAAGTTTAGCTAAAACTATCATAAATCGTTTAGAATAAAAATATATCTCTAGTTCAAATAAAAAAAAAATGTTATATTAGAATAAAATTGATCATTTTCTATTAAATAATAAATGATTAGGAAATTTATTTTCGTCATATTTAATAAATAGAAAATAAATCTTAAAATATTTGTGGATATCATTTAAATCAACATAAATTTCATTTGTTACAGTGACAATTAACTATTTTGTAAAGGACAAGTTATTCAGATACGAATATACGTCATCATTTATATATGAGAAACAATAATTTGACTAGAAAATGATCAATACCTCTTGCAACCTTTTTTTTCTTGTTCTCAAAATCCTAACGGATGCAAAAGTAATTACGTGAACGAGATTAGTAAAAGTGATTTAGATTGTAGAGAGACGGTTCAATACTTTTTAAAATGATTTCTGAATATTGTAATGATAACGCACAAAATAATCTTGTTTTAATCTATTGTATTTTCATAATTTATATCAGACATATATATATATATATATATATGTGTGTGTTATTTTATTAGAAATATAAATATGTTCGTCGAACTATTTAAATTTGAACTGTGTGTAAAGAGAAAAGTGAAATTTGTTTCTTTCTACAAAAGTATATTCTGATGAGTTATAATTTAGGAAAGGTTTATTCTTTCAATATATACCTCTCATATACACAATTTAAATAGTCAATTTTAGAAAAATGCTTTTTAATTCCGAGTATATCGATTAAAATAAATCTGTTTTGTTGTTGGACAATTATTCTTATCGAAACTAATATTGAATATAAAATATTGTTCTAGCTGGTTCCCTGAAACCAAGAGATCGAAATGAAATACGTGAAAAAGTCCTTGCTCATCTCATTTCAATGACTGTACAACTCAAATGTCTTCAAGTTGAACAATTCGAATGGATTCTACATGTTGTTCAATATGTAAGTTTTCTTTTATTTCTGATCTTGTTTTTTATTTCTTGAATATATCTCCATTATAAATAATTGTTTTGAATATATCTCCATTATAAATAATTGTTTTGAATACATCCAAATAAAACAATGTGACTGTCAGATATTTAATGCGGTGCGAAGCACAGCATTTATGTACTCATGCGCGAGTTTTTTTTTCTTTTTAAGGTGCGAAGCACCTATATACTTAGGGCATACCAAAAGTAGTGGCAGTGACACTTTATTCCCTTATAGTGCGCTCAAAGAAACTTTCCTTATATATAGTTTGATAGAGAAAAAAAAGCTCTATCTTTCTATGCTATTTGATCATACTTCGACTAATATCATAATATTAAATTATCTATAAAACTCATTTTGGCAGGATATGTGCTGGTTGTACTTGATTACAACGTGTGTGAACTAGACCCCGTCGGGTCCAAGATTTTTGGACCCGAACCCGGACCCGTTTACAATTTGCTATATTCGTACCCGGAACCGGACCCGTATGTTTAAAAAAGGTTGGGCTCGGACCCGACCCGGACCCGCTTGTTTAAAAAATGTTGGACCCGGATCCGACCCGGACCCGGTCGCTTAAATTTTTTGGATCTAAGCACGATGATAAATCAGTTTCGATAATATATTCAAAAAGTCTTTTGTTGCTTTTTTGTATACTTTCTAAATACACTTAATTTCTTTTCTTCGTGAAACGAACAAAATTTTGAAAAAATTCACAATACATTGTATGCATCAAAGTTTTCTTCAGATCTGGACCCGACCCGAACCCGGTCACAAAAAAGTTTCAGACCCGGAACCCGACCCGGACCCGGCCAAAACGAAATTTTTAGACCCGAACCCGGACCCGTACCCAAGCGGGTCCGGGTCGGGTACGGGTCCGGGTCCTACCCGACGGGCTCTAGTGTGAACAAACTAGTTTTCAATCCCTTAATACATTGTATGAATAACCAAAATGTACCATAAGATGCACCGTGAAAAGCTCTACAATTTACATAAGGCTACTTATTTTATAGCTGCACTTTTTGTTTTCAAAATCGATAAAGTTTTGAGAGATCAAATTTTGGGTATTGAGGAAATTGATCCCATAGAATTTTCCTTTTTTTTGAAAACAAATACAGAAAGTTTTACTGTGTAGATTGTAGAGCTTTTCACGCTACATCCTGTGGTATATTTTGTTTTTCTTTTGATAAAATACATCAAGTGATAAACAATGAAATAACAAAAATGAACTCGTTGTGTATCGAAAACATTCTCTTTTTCGCCTCTTCACAATTTGATTGCTCCAAATTTTGTCGATTTCGAAAACAAAAATCGCAGCTATAAAATAAGTGGCTGTATACAATTTGTAGAGCTTTTTACGCTGCATCTTATGGTACATTTTGGTTATTAATACAACTAATAAGGAATCGAAAACTGCAACACAAAACTTACAACCAGCACATAACCAGCCGAAATTGGTTTTATGGATAATTTACTATTATGAAATGAGATGAAGTATGATCAAATAGCATAGAAAGATAGAGCTTTTTTTTCTCTATCAAACTATATATAAGGAAAGTTTCTTTGAGCGCACTATAAGGGAATAAAGTGTCACTGCCACTACTTTTGGTATGCCCTGAGTAGTGCTTCCTCGCGAGTTTTCTTTATTAATGCAGTGCGAAGCACAGCATTTATGTAGTCCTTCGCGAGTTTACTTTCTTTTTAATACGGTGCGCTAGCACCGTATTCATGCGTTCCTTCGCGTCTTTTTATTATTGTTAAGGTGCGAAGCACTTTCTAGCGACGCGTCGCGAGTTTTCTTTATTAATGCGGTGCGAAGCACAGCGTTTATGTAGTCGTGCGCGAGTTTTTTTTTAATTCTGTTGTTGCCGAACCTATTGTTAAAAGAATTGAATTAAATGAAAGTCTTTTTTTCGCTTGTAAATCTTTTGATATATCAACATTTTCATTAATATCAAAGACTTCAAGATTTTTGAGTTAATAGTAAATTTTTAAATAAATTCAATATATTCTTCATGAGTACATTTTGTTGGTACATAATAAAAACTGCTTGATGATAATTTATGTTTAACAATTTCAACTACTTATAGATTGTAAAAGTCTTTGAGAATAACACATAAACATTGACGATCCCAATCATCAGTTACTATTAAAAAACGAAAAAAAAACAAAGATAAAGAGA